GATCACGAGCGTTCATCTTTCCACGTAGGAACCATCCAGCTCCTGGACAGTTATAGTACCGCAATTCTGTCACAAATCAATGGCCTGTTGAATGAAAACAACCGCACCCTGGATCTCTGCTTTGTGAGTGCTCGTGATACAGCTCCTTTCCTCTCCACGGCACCCGAACCTTTAGTCAAGGTAGTGCATCATCACCCTGCTTTAGTTATCGTGATCGAAAATAATATTGTCCATGATTTCACCAGCACTCCAAACGCTGTGTCATATGACTTCCGTAGAGCTGACCATTGCAGTATCGTCCATGTGCTGTCTAATATAGATTGGGAGCATATTCTAGATCCTGTAGACGTCAACATTGCTGCACAAACCTTTTCTCACGTCTTGGCATATGTCATTGACAGACACGTTTCCAAAAAGATCATCCATATCGACTCTCGCGTCCCGTGGATGACGAAAGATCTTCGCTCGTTGAAAAGAACTAAGAAGGCTGCTCTCAGAAGATTTACTAAACTCCGCACACTGCCACTGAAATGCTACTATGTCAGACTCAACCACGAGTATAAGCGGTTAAGTCGTCTCTGTTTTCAACGCTATCAAAGGAGGATTCAACGGCGGCTAAAATCACACCCGAAATCCTTCTGGAACTTCGTAAATGAGCAACGCAGGGAAGTCGGCTTACCCTCTTCCATGATTTTTAATGGTGAAACTGCTGGAAATCAACAAGACATTTGCAACCTGTTCTCAGCCAAATTTGCTAGTGTGTTTGTAGCCGAGCAACTCTCCGCTAATATCATTACTTCCGCGGCCAGTAATGTTCCTTTGATCAACCAAACGCTCAGCATGGTCGAAGCCACTACAGATACGATTTCTAGAGCAGCATCTAAACTTAAGACTTCAACTAAGGCTGGACCCGATGGTGTTCCGTCGATTATTCTTAAAAAGAACATCACTTGTCTTTTAGATCCACTGCGCCGCATATTCCAGCTCTCTCTTTCCAGCGGCATCTTTCCGTCTTGCTGGAAGACTGCGGATATGTTTCCTGTTCATAAAAAGGGAAGCAAACGCGACGTAAACAACTACCGAGGAATCACATCGCTGAGTGCTGTATCAAAACTTTTTGAATTGGTTGTCATAGAGTCCCTAAATGCGCATTGCAGGCAATATCTAAGTACAGATCAACACGGATTCATAACTGGGCGTTCCACAACTACGAACCTGCTGTGCCTAACGTCTTACATCACAGACAGTTTGATTGCTCGGACCCAAACGGACGTTATCTACACAGATCTTACGGCAGCCTTCGATAAGCTGAACCACGAAATTGCGATCGCTAAGCTTGATAGACTAGGGATCGGTGGAAATCTTTTGAGATGGTTTCGTTCATACCTCACGGAGCGCCAATTGACAGTAACTTTGGGTACTTGTCGCTCAGCAAGCTTCTGCGCAAAGTCCGGTATACCTCAGGGCAGCCATCTGGGACCATTGGTATTTCTCCTCTACTTCGACGACGTTCACCATGTTATCACAGAGCCACGATTATCGTTTGCAGACGATCTGAAAGTTTTTCTGCGCATCAGCTCACTCGCCGACTGCCGTTCTCTCCAAAATCAGATTGATATCTTTGCTGACTGGTGTAGTCTAAACCGACTGGTGGTCAACCCAGCTAAGTGTACAGTTGTTACTTTCTCACGCAAGAAACAACCGATTATTTTCAACTACAAACTACTAGGCACGACTATCGAACGGGTGCACTGCGTGAAAGACTTAGGCGTTTTTCTAGACTCAAAGCTGACATACTCACACCATATATCGTATGTCGTCGACAAAGCGTCCAGAACGCTTGGCTTTGTCTTCAAGATTACTAAGAACTTCACGGACATTTACTGCTTGAAATCGCTCTATTGCTCTCTCGTACGATCTACGTTGGAATACTGCTCTGCTGTCTGGAGCCCGAACTACAATAATGGGGCCGAGCGAATTGAATCTGTTCAACGACGTTTTCTTCGCTTCGCGCTCCGTAAGCTGCCTTGGAGATACCCACTTCGTCTTCCAAGCTACGAGAATCGCTGCCAATTGATCAATATCGAGCCCTTACGTATCCGAAGAGATGTTTTCAGAGCCTTAACCGTCGCCGATACTCTGCAAGGAAGAATTGACTGCGAAGCAATTCTGCAACAAGTGAACATTAATGTTCAACCTCGATCACTACGCAACAGTCTTATGCTGAGACTTCCACTTCTTCGAACTAATTATAGCATAGGGAGCGCTATTTACGGCTTGCAGCTAGTGTTCAACCGAGTAGCGTCGATGTTCGATTTCCACTTGACACGGAATATGCTTCGCCGAAAATTCTCTGCCTTTTTTGCTGACCGAAGACGCTTTACGCCCAACAGCTAAGTGTAAAATTTAAGACTTATACATTTTTAGTAACTTGACAATGCTTTCCTAGTTATTTTTGTTTGTAACTGTAGTAACTGTAGTATATGTATGTCGTCTGTATAATCTGTATTTTTTACAACACATCATTGGGACTATTTCTAGTCTGTTGATGCAACCATAACAAATAAACAAACAAATATACTGTCCGAATATAGGATCACATCTCATTTTTAAATTTATTTACCAGTCGAATTGCTTTTTGACGTAATCACCTTCCGATCAAAATAGTTTTCGATGTTACTTAAGCCACCCGATTTCTATGGAGATGCCGTTTGCCTTAAGTAACAGCACTGAGAAACCCGTGAAAAGTGTACTTTCGTCGTTTCGCTTCCTCATTATTAAAGTGAATAAATCGAACTGTTTGTTGCTAAGATGATTTCGGTGGTACTAAAATGATGAATGGGCTGCATGTAAGGAGACGTAATTGATAATTCTCCCGAATATCCTGGTAAATACACTTTGACTTAAGTAACAATAGGGGCCACCAAACGACGTATAATAACTTTTGACTCAAAAACCAGAAACCAGATTATATGTGTTTAATTGGAAATAGGAATAACTTTTCGGTCATCAAAACAAAACTTTATTTTTCTCGGATCGGTGCGAATGTTACTTACGACATAATGAAAATTTGCTCTTGAATTCACAAAAACAAAAGAAGCGCTCCGACCGAATCAATTTGAATCCTCATCCGATAGGCCGAAGTGAATTCATTGGCGTTTCAATGCGTTAGGCCGAATTTAGAATACTTAGACTGGCGTCAAGAAGCAGTGTTAAACTTTTGACAATATCTCAACGATTGGTTTCTTCTTCTTCTTCGCGTTTCAAGCTTAATGCATATCGCATATTAGCTTATTGCGTTTTCTCAACTTAGTGTTCTAGATGCACTTCCACAGTTATTTAATTGAGAGCTTGTACCAATTTTCCAACCCGAAAAATTCCTAGACCGGACCGGGAAATTGAACCCAGCCACCTCCAGCATCTTGCTTTGTAGCTGCGCCTTTACCGATTGAGCTAAGGGAGGCCAACCATTGGAAAGGTAAATAAATTTGGAAGCCATCAGTAATAATAACATTCTGTTTGGTGCTAAACTGCGCTAGATTAAGAAAGACTAAGTTCAGGTTGTGCTTAATAGGCCGGAAATGGGGTAGTTAACACTATATAGATAATTTTGAAGGCATTTTAGTTATAAACATTTCAATGGAATGACTGGGATAATAATAACATTATTCAGTGGAATCAAGGGGAAAGCCCATCTGAAGACATCTTGGGATGATTACTTCAAACTATGGTGGCTTTGGGCCATAAAAATGCCTCCACTCACTGACCTAATTAGGTAATTGCAACATGTTACAAGACTTCCTTGATTGCAAAGTCCCTTTGAGTTAGCCGTTTAGTGTAACATGTACTAAAAGGGCTCTAGTCTAAAGAAGGCATTAGTCAGTAGAAGACAGCAAAAAAATGCGTCTTATCTGTGTCTGTCCTTGCGCTGTCGTCGTCGTCATTGTGACTTTGGCGCCCCACATCATAACGATAGACTTGCGACGGAACGGTGATGATAACACAAAAACAAACCGAATTGACCACAATAAAAACAACATAAATAACGGGAGAAACAAGGATTCGATTTCATACACCACCGGGGGTGAGCATTAGCGTCATCAGCAGCTAGTAGTTACAGTAAGCAAGTGCGAAATCGTGAAGGCAAAAAGCGAGTAAATACATAAACAATATTATTTCAAAAATAGCTTGCAAAACAAAGTGAGAAGCAGTATCGAGGTGTCCGTTCAAGATTGTCTTCTTTAAGTTCTAATGCTACAGATGCAATTCAAATAAGACTTAGTTCAATTTGCAATGTTTGACATTTTTTTGACGGCAGAATACGCTTCCTTGGTCATCAATATTTCAGTTTACCTATAAATACAAGCAAGAGTTTGTTCCCCAAAACGGTCCGGTTTTTCTGTTTCTAAAAATAACACTACAAACAGTGGCACAAAGGACCAACAAGAGTAATCACACGAGGTGGACACGCTCAATTTTATATATCGCACGATCGAAGTCCAAGCGAAAACAGAAAGTAAAATTCGAATGTAAACATAACAAAGACGGGTGAGGGAGGTGGAGGGTGTTTCTCGGACGAGGAGCTGACTAACAAGAGTACAAAGAAGCTACAGCAAATGTTGCATACTCAGACTCAGAATGGGTAATCTTTAGCGGGAAGAAGCGTATTTCTTGGGGGCTTGTGTCGATGCTAGGTGGCCTCCAGCAACAACAAACAATCGAGAAGCCCCACTCGAATGTAGGTGATTAGGTTAGGGTTGCATTTTTTTTCTCTTTTTCCTCCAAGCGATACCACGTTACAGCACATGACTGCAAGTGGGGTCAGACCGTCACAGAAGAAGTTGATACGCCAACAAATCATAATTTGTTCCATCCTTCGAACATAATCCTATCGTGGCCACCGTCAAAGTGCACATTCTTTCGTCGGCTATCGTTTGCCGTACGAAAAATCCCTTCACTATCGAGCAAAATAGCCAAATTAGGCGAAATTCAATACGTACAACATCGCACTCCTTTGCACGGTATAGATTTTTGGAGAAATATTCCAGCAGCTGCTGGATGTCTTGTTGCAGTATTTCGGTCATCTTCACTGCTGCGCCACATTTACGGACACTTTTCGGACGTCGCGACCGCGTAACGAAATGCCTTTCGGGGAAAATTTTGGCCCGCGAACTCTGAACACTCTGTTCCCCGAAATGATTTGCAGTGCAAAATTGGAACTTTTTTTTTTGACGACGCACAAAAATGCCAACGATCCGCGAACGCGAGCCACGAAAGGAAAACAAACGCGATTTTCTACCAAATTTCCACCTCTTTCACGTCGTGCGCCGTGCGTCTCTCGCGTGGTGATGTTACTGCGCCTACTCTACACAATCAAAGAGGAACGGAGACTTTTTGACAGTTATTTTACATTTTAAGCGGGGTTCGGAATTCAGATCTCTTTCAGAGCATAAAAATGAGAACAATTCACGCTTTGGCAAATTTCCTCAAAAATGAGTTAAACTTCACAAAACTTCCTCCAGTACTTTCAAAACGACGGGTACCAACTAAAATGGGTAAACATGATGTTACCCAAATCTGAGAAAACATGCCTGGCGAATGAAACAGCAGCTGTATGACCAACTATAAACGATAACATGTGGCAGAGCGCTACTTCGTCGGTATCGCCGAGGGTATCGCCCATTTACCTTCTATATCGTCAATAATATCAATGATTTCACCTATAGAGATTAGTGACGTTTAACACACGCACACTAGCGGGAGCAACGCCGTGTAAAGTTGTTTATTATTTTCCTCTGGCTAACCTAAAAAATGTATGAAAGTAGATCTGTCAAAATGAGTTTGACATCGATTTGTTATGTATTTTCCTCGGATATTCACTAACACGCTCTCACATATCGCACCAACACAACCGGACGTGAAAATCTCTATGCTAAGGATTTCACCATGCACAATCCGAGACATAGCATCCTTTGAAAAAATCACACATTAAAGTTAAAGCCGAAAATCTTAGGGGGCTTTTATCGAGCAAAGTTTATGGAAATGATGAGTTCTACAATTTTGTAGAACATTTCAATATCGAAAATGATCAGTCACAAAAGTTGGATTTTTCAAGTGGCATCCTACAATGAGTATAACCTACCGGTGGAAGCTAACGATTTTAAATTGGCTCACTACTTGACTAGCCTATTGGTCCCAAGAAAACGATTAACGTACCCCATTCTAGTCGACATTCTAGTACTGCACTATGTTTGTTTTGATTCGCTATGAAAATTTGACAGATAAAATGAGGGGTTCGTGGATTTTCCAATGTTTCGAGGGGTGCATCGATTAGCTTGGGACCGAAGATAGTACCAGAGCTGAGCCAAAAAGTTGAGCACGTTTCTTCGGGACCTTCCCCAACAAACAATTGCCTATTGAAGAAACGACTTCTTGACGATTTTATTCCACTTCATGCTTAATAATACTTGTACTATTTTTAATAATAACTTCTGTTCAGACTTTGTTCACACAAATCTGGAGAACAGGGGGTATGTCACTTTGCCACCTAGTGTCTGTGCTGATTGTGTTTCTTGTGAGTTTCTGGGTGTTTTGGGTGTTTCTCCGTGTCGACCAAGCTGTCAAAACTTCAAGCGAAATTTTAAGCTAACTGGCAACCATATTACCCAAAAAACAAATCAAAGCAAAAGTAAACAAAAAGTGAGCAGCCTAGTGAGCTCGCTCGTGAGCAGCAGAATCCGAGGCAGAATCTTTAAAAAGTTAATACCGCTTGTAAGTCGTTATTGTTCAGAATTGACCGAGGTCCTGGCGTTAATGGCACCGATTTGTACAGCAGCCTTTTCTTCATCGTTATCAGCTGTGGAACACTTCGATTCTATGAGGGGTGTAAATAGTTCGGCAGCGAAGGTGGGAGCTGTTGGGACATTCGTACGTTCGGCACGATTACAGTAGCCATAGACGATGTGAGCCTTTGGGGTTTATATACGCCTGGTTTGCATCCACTGGTCATTGATTGGTCTTTGGAAGGATTTCAGTCAACCGACGAATGAACAGGTGCCAATCTCAAGCGCGGATATTACAGTTTCGGTTATTCCAAGGTGCTGTTGCAAATCACGTTATTTTCTGTAAGAGATTCTACACCATGACCCCCCTCATACACATTTATAACTATTGGTATGGCCGTGGACACGAGCCAATTCCTTCCCAAAAACTGTTCAGGTGGTATGTGGACACCTTCAGTGGAAAAAAAAAAACAGTTACAACAGCGTACCGAGACATGCTCATTTAGAAAGAACAGGTTGAAATTGGATTGTTAACTGATTAGTCATTTTTGCTATTATTCCTAATATTTGTTGGTTTCGCGCGGTTCCACTAAAATTATTCCGCAGAATTTGCAGTATTTTTTCATTTTCGTAACCGAAAATAACGTAAAAATAGCTTTTTTTTGCTGCCACTGTCGAACCTGTGTCGAACTGATAATTCGTCGGTGCTGATAACTCAATAAATTTGCAAAAATAACAACATTCTGGACAGTGGTGCCAGAATTATTAGATTTTTTTTTCATGTTGCGGAAGGGTGTTTGCGGGTGTGTCGAAGTGTGTTTATGTGGGTGTTAACACCGAGGTTAACACAAGGTGGCAGAGTGACTTACCCCCTGATATTCACGTTTATTTTCAACACGAATATTTTTAAAATAAATGTTACATTATTTTTGTTTACAACATTAATATCATATGACTTCACACATGGAATACGTTTGAAATAAACCTTGTTTATTTTTGTGGCCAGAACAAACTGAGTTTACGTTTAAATTTACCTCAAATATTTTTGTTTCAACGATAAATTTTTCTGCGTGTACTTTGTAAGGTCATTCATGTCGGTTTGTCGGTGGCAAAACCACCCAACAGGAGTAGTACACGGAGAAAAAATACTACCCAAAATTTGAGTTCTTTTTACTTAATATTGACTTCAGCCTCTCACTTGCACTCATTATTGTTGTCAAAAAAGGAACGAGAGATTCGACCCAACGATATAGTTCGGCCCAATAATTATAAGTTACTTTTGAGTAAATTGCATATTCTCAAATTTACGTGAATTAAACTTAATTTTGGGTAGAATATACTTAAGAGTAGGTAGTTTTTTTGCTGGTGTTAAATGGAAACTACTATATGCGATTTACTCAAATTTGGGTTATTGGGCTGAACCCCGGAATTGAGGGAAATGTGCTTAATTTTGGGTAGTTTTTCATCTCCGTGTAGAGAGTGGACACCCAAAGTTGGGTATAATCATATTCACCTACTTTTGCGTACACTCAAAAGATTTTCAAATATAAATAGATTAAAAGTTACGCTAAATCGCAACTCTCCTGACCGACGCATAGCTTGGTATAAAGTGAGAGAATACGAACTTAGTATAAAAATGATTTACGCATAGATAGAGATAGAATAAAGTGCATGTATTTATTCGATTCATAACTGCTATTTTATTTGTATTTAGAGTATGCTTTTCTGTCAGTTTCATTTGCTTTGTTTTTTAATGCAAATCAAAAATGCTGCAAAAATAACAAAAAAATATTTTATTTTCTTGGTACTAGGTACCTATCAGCATAGAAATAAATAAGAATATTTATTTATAAATTGTTCTGATCCCTGCGTCGTACAAAACCGCTCGAGTTAGAATCCGGTTCACTACCGGACATGGTACCGAGTTAATCAAGTTCAGCCGCATCGCCGCATCGCACTTGTGGACCACCACCATCGAATTACTAGTCAGCACTAATTAGTCCGGTGCAGTATAGGTTCTAGAACGGGGGCTTGTTGAACAAATCCGTTAAAATGACCAACAACCACGCGTCTTATCGATTCCCTCGCCAATGAAGTCAGCCGGTAAGCTGTTGCTTAGGAAATCCGCAGCATTCTCAAACGGATAGTGATTCTGTGTGAAGGGCATCGAACCGTACTCGAACCAGCAATCACTGTGGAGAATTTCCCAGGAAATTCGACGGGATTTCAAAGTGGTCGATGGCTCTATGGCGAACGCTCATTCGCACACATGAGTACTTATCCAGCTCTTCAATGCTTCCGATGCATGCAACTGGCTAGCCAGCCGTAAAAATCCACGGTGATGTCAGCGATCCTGAGTATCTAAAATTGAGAACCTTGCTAAAAACTAAAAAAAACTGAATTGTAATCTTAAAAACTAACCGAACAACTGCAAGCTTCATCCTGTCAACGTTACAATTTAATAAACATTGGACGAATTCCTCACCAATATTCGAACTTAGTATAATTATGGGATCAAATTTTAAGCCGATCTATGCATAAACATTGCTTAACCATAACATGTTTAAATTTTAATCTTTCTTCGATTAGTTATATTTTTGAGTGTACAATAGACTGATGCAAAATTTGACTTTTTCGCTCCACAGTGCTAAAATGGTTTCAAATCGGGTCCTGATTAGCCTACCAAAATTACAACTCATTTGGTTAGAAACAGACTTCGCACAAGCCATTTGAAGTTTACATGTAAATTACTATGGGAAACCTCAACTTTTTGTTCATTGCCTTCTAGTCTTTTTCCATATTGAGCTGCGGAACAGTTCGATAGCCATTCTTAGAGAAAATTTACTCAGCTACAACTTTGCTGAAGATTTTTTCTATGTAAAACGAGACAGGAAAAAGTTATTAATTATTTAAGAGATTGGTAAACTTACGACATGATCAAGCAGCTGCTCTGTAGGCAACACTGTATTTTGCAGTGTGACATAGTAGCCATGATTTTTGTGTCCTATTCAACGCCCCAGAAACACCAATGTTGCCTGCTGAGCAGTTGATTGAGCATGATCATAAGACATCAGCGCATTGAACCATTGATAACTTTCGATCCTTACATTTAGTCAAAAAGTAGTCTTCAGCAAAGTTGAAGCTGGAAAAATTTCCTACAAGTACAGTTGAAGGCTTTTGAAGCAAACCGATATGGTGAATTATTAGATAGACATGAACAAAAATCTTGGTTTTACCATAGTAATTCCCATATAAACTTCAAATGGTTTGTGCCATCTCAGTTTCTCACCAAATGGGTTCAAATTTTGAGAGGTTAGTCAGGATCCGATTTGGAATCGTTTAAGTATTGTGGAGCGAAAATTTCAAATGTTGCATCACTCTAGTGTACAACTAACTTACTTTTGGGTAGAAATCCAGTGGAAAATTCCATACGAATTGCATGCAAGTATGAGTGAAAATAACTTACTGTTGGGGACTTTTTTCTTACCGTGTGGTGTGCTCCTGAATATAATCTAAAATGAACGAACGGATTTTCGTTCCGGCATCCAGCACTGCATTCGTTGTCCTATCCCTCAAGTGCTGCGTCATTCATGGACGCTCTTAAAACGTCAAAGCAAGCATCAACAAAACAGCCCCGACAATTTTGTTTGTCATTCCGTTTTTACGTAGCGAGTGATTCCGGTTAATTTCATCAAAACTATTTCGTTTTACCCGAAAAAATGGAAACTTTGATCGGAATTCGTGGTCCAGACTTTGTCATGCTGGCCGCGGACTGCACACATGCCCATTCGATTATGGTTCTGAAAGATGGTAAGCATAAACGGGTTGGGATATACTGTTTGTCGTCTATCATAACCTTAAAGGATCCAGAAGAGGAAAAATGCCATGTAATTTCGACTATTTACAGATGAAAATAAAATCTACAAGATTTCCGATAATCTGATGATGGCAACGATTGGAGAGGCAGGTGATCGGGTGCAATTTACGGAATACATCAGCAAAAACATTCTGCTATACAAAATGCGTAACGGATACGAGTTGGGACCGAAATCGGCTGCCCATTTCACTCGGAAGAATTTGGCTGATTATCTGCGATCTCGTACTCCGTACCAAGTGAATGTACTGGTGGGAGGGTAAGTATTACGCGATGGGTCGCTTTCGTCTTGGAATTGCCGTGAACTTTTTTTTCTTGCATTTTAGCTATGACGAGGCGGACGGTGCTCAGTTGCACTACATCGACTATCTGGCCAACTCACTGCCAGTAAAGTACGCAGCCCACGGTTATGGTGGCTTGTTTGTGGCCAGTATTCTGGATCGATATCATCATACCAAGATCACCCAGGCCGAGGCGTACGAAATAATGAAGAAAGGCGTTACCGAAATTCAGAAGCGACTGATTATTAACTTACCCAACTTCAAAGTATCCGTTATCGACAAGGATGGCATCAAGGAAATGAAGGACATAACAGCCGATAGCTTGAAGGCAGAGCCTGTTGCGGCTTGAATGGTGCAGGGTGGTATGGTAAGTTGTTCGGAACCGGAATAGGGTGGAACAATAAATTTCGATTTACATTTGTACTCTGGAAGCAGGTGTTAGTTTTGCAAGTCGATGCAGCATAGATATCCGAAAAGAACCTTGAAAAATGTAATCCTGTGGTAAATGGCTTAAATAAAACAGCAAAAAAGGGTTATCTTCCATTTAATTCCACTTAAATAATTTTGGTATCTATTATTTACGTATTTCGATGTGCAGACTTCAGACTCGAAATAGGGGACAATGGATGTAATTTCGGCCTATATGCCCCTAATTTGGGCCCATACATAAATTCAGCAATCGACTAAATTTTTAAAAGCGACCCAAAATATCCTTTAGTACCAGCTGAACGTTCAGTAAAACTTTGAACTTCATTTTATAGGCTATTGAATTTGAAAATAATTTCAAAACATGTTTAACCTTGTTTAAATGAGCAAATCTTGTCATTTTAGTGGAGATTTCGTTTCAAAGTAGCTGAAAAGCAACTGAATTTAATTGCATAAATTTTACCGAACAGTTCAGGTTTCGGTTAAAATTGCCGAAGCCGGCGATAATTTCTAAGGCTGTGTTCCATTTGGTGAATTTTCACTTAAATTGGACAGATGGAAAATTTTCAAATAAACCTGCTATTCCAGCAGACTTATTTTTGGCAGACAAGGAATCAACTTTGACAGATGCTTTCTCGAAAATCGGCCGATCAACAACAGAGGGATTTTCGAACATCTTAATTTGATTCTATAACATTCCCCAGAATGTACCATTCCCCAGAAAAGATGATGACTAGTAATTTATCACTTTTTTTTTTGGTCATTTGATATTATATATCAGTTTTATATTACAGAACTACCGATTACAAACTTATAACATAATTCCACACGTTATTATCGCAAATACTCATTACCCCGAATCCCTTGCGAAAAGCTATCGATTATATTATATTTTCCTTATATATGAATATTTCCTTCTTTATCGTATATCCAAAGAATTAATTATTTCCTTTTGTTATATTTTCGAAGAAGGGAATATTCCCTTCATTATCATATATTTAACGAATTAATGATGTTTTCTTCTATATATTCAAAGAAGGGAATATTCCCTTCTTTATCGTATATCCAAATAAGTAATTCTTTCTTGTTGTTATATTTTCAAAGAAGGGAATATGGTGCATTCTGGGGAATGAGATTATGGGGAATGGTTTTCTGGGGAATGTTATAGAATCTCTTAATTTATTTTCGAAGTGTCAAATTTAAGTGAAAATTCACCAAATGGAACACAGTCTAATACCCCGGACAGACTATGGCTTATATCATGTAATATAGGCTGGCTTGCAATGAGCACTCATATAAAGGATTTCCAGTGAAAACTAGATGTATGAGTGCTCATTGCAAGCAAGCCTATATTACATGATATAAGCCATAGTCTGTCCGGGGTATAAGTGTGTATGATATAATCTCTAAAATTAATTATATCATTTTTTATCCATCACATCTCTAAAATATCGGGTCACATCTCTAAATATCTCATTACAGATTACGGTATTTGAAGTTGCCAGGTCGCTGTGAAGGAGCGGCGCGGTATGGTCCAATGCGATGTGAACCTCAAGGGCGAGCCCTCGGGCGAGCCTTGATGTAAACATTGTGATTTTGTCGTCTGTTTCTTTCTCCCGCTGTTTGAATGGTTGATGGAGTGATGGCGATGCATTCACATTGCTTCCTCTGTCGTATGGGGGTTGTTAGATTTCAGTGATTTCAATTGAGAAATCCAACTTAAACTCATGCGCACCTGGTGGCAGGAATAAGCACTAACCGACGGTGATAAGTCTGTGACAGCCCTTGAAAATTTCATTGATTGTTTGCAAAAAATTTAATTTCAATGTAATTTCATGAAAATTTCTTGTCAGCATGGATGAATCTTGTACAAAATGCATAAAACTATTTTGTAATGCATTGTTTTTAAATAAAAAGCTACTTCAAGGCTTATAAATTACTGAAAACATGTTAAGGTTTGAAATCATCTGCCGATAAAACAACAGACAAGTTTGGCCGACTAAATCAATCGACGAAAAACTATTAAATAGGCCGATTGCTCGGTGTAGCACCAGACGAAAAACGATTTAATCTGCTGATTAATACACCGACTGAAATTAATTTTTAAGTGACAATAGATTTAGTCGGTGGACGATTCGGGTGATTTGGATGATGTTTGTTTATTTGGAAGATATTTTCGAAACAAAGCACGATAAAATTCAGCATTATATACCATTAAATATTACGAGTACTACTTTTTTGCTCGGATCATGTTTTGACTTCCACAGAAACTCGCTAGAATAAATAGAAAATAATAGTTTTTTGGTTGAAATTTCAAAAATGTATTCAGTTTGACACATTATTTCGGACATATCACCGCGTCACGGTGGTCGATTGAAACATGGATTTGTCAATAGAGAGGAATTTAACAGTTAAAAAAGGAAGCAAAACAACGGGAAACGAAAAGATGAGGACGATGATAATGTCACGGTTTGGTGGTGCTCCGAGTCGAAGGTGGAAGTGGTTGCGAAGGCAACCGAATTTCGGCCGATGGCTGGTTTTCGCGAGGGGCAATTCACTGCTCTCGAGAATGAATCGAAAATGCGTAAATGAAAAAAATACACAAAAATTCATCATTACTCGTCATTACTCAAAAAAATGCAAAAAAAATACAAAATTCGGAAAAAAAATACACACTTATTCGACGAATAATAAAAATACACGATAATTCGTCATTTGCACGAAAAATTCGAAAATATGTTCAATCAAAATGCTGAATTCGAACAAAATGCGTAAATCTATTATTTTGTATTTTAATCCGAGCTCGAATCACAAAATAATGAATAATGATTAGAATTTCACCCATATCTAAGAAAGGTGGCTTAAATCATTTATTAAATAAAAAACATTAATGAGTAGTGGTGACCCACAAATAAGTAACGATTATTCATAAATGCGTAACAGCCTTGGTAACAGATCCTTATTAATGCGTAATAAGCGAGAATGAGTTTATAACACGCAAAGATCAGTTTACCTAGACGGTACAAAGAGATTACCGAGATTGGCCGTAAATTGCACAAACTCACATATGGGTAAATTTTTTTAACCCAAATATGGGTTCTTGTGAACCATAAATGATTTATTTTTATGCAAATTTGATTTAAATTTACCCATATTTGGGTTAAAAAATTTACCTATATCTGAGTTCGTGCAGTTTTCGCCTGATTTGGGTAAAGTAAACCTATATTTGGGTTATCTGATCTTAGCGTGAAGATAAGTCTCTACACAGAAACAAAATCTATTGGCAAAATTACTATATTGATGGTTTAAATTAAATACTCCCACCAATAGATTTGTGCAGAAACGAAATTCATTTAATTTTACTATTTTTTCTATCAAAACTACTATGCCGTTTGAGTAAGCACAGTAGTTTTGACAGAATGGTATTAACTTTGTTTATATTTATAGTCAACTATACTGAAATCATGGTAGATTTAATGGTATTAAGCGTAGTTATACTGAAAATAAGTGTTTTCTGCAAAATAGTATTTATAACTATGGTCTTTGTTTCAGTGTATTCTTGCAAATGGGTTAGATTATACTCATTAGTGGGTATTTTAAAGTAACCGTGTGTTTTGCATTTGTCAAACAAAACGTCAACATTGTGAGTTTGATCCTCGGTTCGAGTGGCAAACATAAACACTGAAATGACAGAATACGCTTATAACTGATTTTCAATACATTAATGCATAAAAATACACTTATATTTTTCTAATACACAGAAAATTACATATATTCAAAAAGTGCAAAATAATGCATAATGGATCATTTTAGATGGCTGAATTTTGAACCCACCACAGCTTTCATTTGGCGCTACTGTATACGGACGAACCAATGTAAAATACTGTGGTAGCCACAGTACGGTGCTGTCAAAACCTCAGCATCTTCAATGATCCATTACACAAAATACACGTTTATTCGATAAAAATACTTCAATACGTTCATCAATACGTTGGCCTGAATCGGGTTTGGTTTTGAATCGGGTTTTCGGAAGTACATATTTGGTGAGGAATGGAGGGTACACTGAAACAAAGATAATAGTTAGGTATATTTTTGGAGAAACCACTTATTTTCAGTATAACTAAACTTATAAAATTCCACACATTTTTATTGACGAATTTCCATGGGAAATTCCACATGATTTTCATGTGACAACACATTAACAGAATCCATTCATAAGCACACATGAAATGTATGGGTCAAATTAATAGTATGTGTGGTTACACGTGAATTTAATGTGTACACATAACACATAAGAACTATGTGTCCGACACATATATATCATTTGTTTATCCACATTGCAAAAATTCATGTGTGGGACACATAAAAATTAGCAGTGAATTTTTATCAGTTTGAATTACGTTGATCGATATTACATTTTTTTGCTGTGTGGAGTGTGCTTCTGTTGTAGATGGTTTGGGAAATGTAAATTGTAATGGTTTAATGTTATTGTTAAATTGTGGGTTAATGTTATTCCCGCACAACTTTTTGAAAATATCAAAAAACAGCTGCTGCCGTTTAATTAAATGTAGAATGGATGAATTCCCCCCCCCCCCCGCAATTATAACGGAATTAAAAGGTAAATCAACACACTCAAAAACACAAACGAAGTGACAGACGACTTACTGGCGAAGAAATCCATTTAAATAATGTGGTTCACTGTAATAGAATTTTCTTGGAAGCTTGTGCCATCATCCACCAGATGGGTTAGTTTTTTTTGTTTTGATTTGAACAAAGTTGATTTTGTGTACAATGATTCTTTGACAGTGTGCAAAGCTCGGTGCAAAGAGTGCGTATCATTTTGTCATTTTTTTTATGCATTTCAGTTTTGAGTAGAGTGAAAGAGATAGAACCAAAATATTCTAGTACATTTGGTGAAAATGCTAGTTCAATCCAATAGTAGTGTTGCCATGTGGTACAATCCAGTAGTAGTGGTGTTGCCATGTGGTACACT